TTTTGGTTCGGTTCATTTTCGGTACAAAAACGGCCAAAATAAAACTTACAAAAAGTTTATTTAGAAAATATTTCAAGTAAACAAGTTGAGTCATCACAGACTTCTTATCTGGAGGTGATCTGGTGGATGAAGAAGACTCAGCTGCTGTCATCCTCAGACTGCAAACAACACAGAGATAAAAAAAAATTGATTTAATAAGATTATAATTTTAAATTTAAAAAGTTAATTACATCACAATAATACAATAACAATACCTCTTCTTGCATGGTCATCATTTCTGTTGAATATTCCCTTTCGTTCATCATCATCATCAGGGCAGGACTTTAATCTGGTCTCCAGGGCTTGTTGACAATATCAGTTTTGTCTTTTTCATAAAGTGCTGCTACAACTTTTAGGCTGAAGTCTTGACATGATGTCGTAGCGGGCATAGGCGTCGCAACCATTATAAGTGAAGGAGAGAAGTCCCCCCCACATTAAAATAAGTTAATTTGGATCCCCCCACTTTTACTATAAAACATTAGTTCAGGCGACGCAGTTTCTCTTTCTTCGTGAACAAATCCATTCCACTTTATTAATAGGAGAATACTCAATCCACTAAAACTCCACTCCAGGTTTTCCTGGTTACCTCCAACTCTCCACGGTCTCCTCTTGCCTCGGCAGAAAACGCGCACAGGTGAAGGAGGTGGAGGTACCTGTGTTACTCGCTCGCCAGTTTAGCAGCTTAGTGCGAGCAGTGGTTGACCAGGGGGTTGATCATAAACATATATTCATGTTAGGAGGATGTTTGAGAGGAGCGCTACGTCTGTAGCATGTTAGCTTAGCAGCAACTGTGACGCTGTAAGACGTTGCAGGTGTAAGATGTGGTGCGTTCAGGAGCATTAAAGTTGAAATGTCTTTAAACCCCCACACCTTATTGTCCTCAGTCTTCATGAGAAACATCATTTAGATGAGTCGTGTTGAACACAAGTAAAAAAGTCCAGTGGTGATGTTTTTTATTTATCTATAGACAAATAGTGCCGACCTGATGCTGTGAATTAAAGTTAAAATGTCTTTAAAACCCACAGCTGAATTTACACAAACTTGGTGAGAAACATGTTTTAAATGTGTGGAATTCAAGGAAATCTATGTGATGTTGCTTTTTTGTTCACTAGTGAACACCTTTTTTTAACGTGCGCTCACACGTGCACACACACACGCGTGCGCACACACACACACTCCTACACTCATCATTGTGTCCCCCCCACATTACGGATGCTTCTGACGCCCTTGGTAGCGGGGCTCAAGAACTCTAAAGTCGTCACATCAACAACATGCAGACGTAGATCCAGAGCTTTAAAAACTCCTACATCTTGTGTTATTGCTCTGGACTGATCTGAATCACCTGATAAAGTTGTTTAAATGCTGCTGTTATCGTTCTTTACAACAAAACTACGTTCACGTTCAGACAATGTCGTTCAAGAGCGTTAACAAGTTCGACATGTTGCTGCTGCAGATCCAATCTCCGTGAAACAACGACGACACACAGCTTTGGATTTGTTCACTTGTCTTTTAACAAGAAAGACATAATGTTCCCCAACAGGAGACCACAACGACATGCTAGGCTGCTAATGCTACGCGTGCTGCAAGATAATAGCGCCGTGCTGAAACACGCCTAGGAACTTTAGTTCCGCGGCGCATAATCAGAGTCAGAGTTTCTTTATTGTCATTCGCACCTCATGTGGCACATGTGGTGGAGCGAAATTATGTACACAGGGTCCCAGTTACATCCAACAATAAAATGTCTAAGAAAAACAGTAATAACATCTAAGATATGAACTAAGAAAAACATCAACTAAATATACACTAAGCACTCATAACATAAAACATTGAACATCAGCACAAACATGAACATGAGTCTGTGAGCAGATGTGCACGCATGAACACATCAACATTGAAACAGATCAGCAGCAACATGAAACAGATCAGCAGCAACATGAAACAGATCAGCAGCAAAATTGAAACAGATCAGCAGCAACGTGATGTGATTTTTCATAGCGATTATTCTGGTTAGAGATTCATGAGTCTAACAGCCTCAGGGTAGAAGCTGTTCCTCAGTCTAGTGGCTCTACACTTAATGCTCCTCAACCTCCTTCCTGAGGGGAGTGGGGCAAAAAGTGTGTGTGGTGGGTGAGTGTGGTCCTTCATGATGCAGGTGGCCCTCTTCCTGCATCTGGAGGTGTAGATGTCTGTGATGGTGGGGAGACTGACTCCAACATCTTCTGTGCAGCCTTCACCACTCTCTGCAAAGCTTTTCTTTCTGCAGCTGTGCAGCCTCCATGCCACACGTTGATGCTCGAGCACAGGATGCTCTCCACTGCACACCTGTAGAAGGAGGTGAGGACTGAGCTTCCAGACCAGCTCGCCTCAGCCGTCTGAGGAAGTAGAGTCTCTGATGAGCTTTCTTCATCAGGCTGGTGGTGTTGTTGCTCCAGCTGAGGTTGTCATTCATGTGTACACCCAAGTACTTGTAGCTGGAGACCACTTCCACCGCAGATCCTCTTATGTTCAGGGGGGTGTAGATGTTTTTGTTCCTTCTGAAGTCCACAATCATCTCCTTTGTCTTCTTCACATTGATGTGAAGGTTATTCTCTCTGCACCAGCTCTCCAGGTGTTCCACCTCTTGCCTGTAGCTGGACTCATCATTGTTTGTGATGCATCCCACCACCGCTGTATCATCTGCAAACTTTACAATGTGACAGCCTGGATGGGTAGCTGCACAATCATACGTGAGCAGAGTAAACAGGAGGGGGCTCAACACACATCCCTGAGGAGAGCCAGTGCTGAGGGTTATGGTGGAGGAGGAGAAGTTGTGGATCCTCACTAACTGTGGTCTGTTTGTTAAGAAGCCTAGTACCCAGTTGCAAATGGAGGGGCTTAGTCCTAGTGTGGATAGTTTGTCCATCAGGGTTTGGGGGATCATGGTGTTGAAGGCGGATGTGAAGTCCACAAAGAGCATACGGACGTAAGAGTTTTTCTGCTCCAGGTGGTTGAGAGCAGTGTGGACCACAGAGGAGATGGTGTCGTCTGTTGATCGGTTCTCACGGTATGCATACTGATGAGGGTCCTCGTTGATGTTGATGGTTGTTTTGATGTGAGTCATGACCAGTTTTTCGAAGCATTTAGCGACTATCGGGGTGAGGGCCACTGGCCGGTAGTCATTCAGACCAGTCACTGTAGAGCTTTTTGGGACTGGGATGATGGTGGCAGTCTTCAGGCAGGTGGGAACTGTCTCCAGGGTAAGTGAGGTGTTAAAGATGTCTGCCAGCACCTCACAGAGCTGATCAGCACATTCCTTCAACACTTTTCCGGGGATGTTGTCTGGGCCAGTTGCTTTGTGCGGATTAATCCTCCTGAAGGTACTCCTTACTTCTGCTGAGGTCACGCTGAGATGCTCTTCATCCGGTGGTGAGGTGAGTCTGGTGCTGGGTGGTCTGTTCGGGTCTTCAAAGCGTGCATAGAACTTGTTGAGGGCATCAGGCAGAGATGGGTCTTTGGGGCATTGTTCACTCCTTCCTTTATAACCTGTTATGCACTTAATGCCCCTCCACATGCTCCGAGGGTCTTGTGAGATGAATTGACCCTCGATCCTCTGTGCATTTGTGGCCTTGGCCCTCTTAATACCAGCAATAATCTCTCAATAATTAAATTTAATTAGTGAAAAAATAACTGTACGTATGTGGACTGAACCGAACATGCCATACGGAAACAGTTCAATACACCCATGGGTGTCAGAAGCATCTGTAATGTGGGGGGGATACTATAGTGTGTGTGTGTGTGTGTGTGTGTGTGTGTGTGTGTGTGTGTGTGTG